ACCAAACATGCAGAGTAGGAAGCAAAGCAGCAAAATGTTGGACCAAACACAATTGTGAAAAGAAAGGGCAGGATGGGAAAATGGAATCAGAAGCAAGTCTGCTCAATTACTCACAACAAGCATTCTATCACAGAGCTCTGCAGGTCTAGCCTAAGTTTTCTAAGGATTTGCAAAGCCAATGTTAAAGAGAAAACATCTCAATAGTGACCTCCACTGGACACGTCAGAGAATGCCTCCCTTTTTAAAACCACAAACACTCTTTATAAACAGGGCAGTACTTAAAATAAAATGAGAGAGAAACAAATATAAGTGACCTTCTGGAAATGTTACATGCAACAGCAGCTGCAATTTTTCACGTAGATTAGACCCCAAAATATGACCTACTCAACGTGTTTGTAATAAGACTGAAATTAATATGCTGGATAGTTTAACAAAACGGAGCCTCTCTAGCGTGAGGCACATTCCTAGCAAAGAACAGAAACACAGTGCCAGTAATGAACTCACAGATGTGCTTATTAGCAAAATATGGAGGGGGAAAGGAGGCAGCACAAGCCTTGCTTTAAAATGACAGCCTGTCTTCAGAACGCAGGTGAATCCAGTTCTAGCCCATAAAATCAAAAAGGGGAAGATGTGCAGAAGAACAGGTAGGAAATGCACATCTCCTAAACTAGCATTCACTAGAATGCTGACAGGAGAAGGAAAAGCAGATACAAGCCAGAAAGGGCAAAGGCTTCTGTCCTGGAGCTACGCTTTGGGTTAATCACCAACTGTGCTGCTTTGGAACTGCTTTCCTCCCATGGGTATGGTGGCATTTCTTTATAATATAAAGAATGAAATGTAGGATGTCCTCACCATTCCTTTTCCCTGCACCATTGTCCACAAGAGAAGCTTACTGTAACATCGTGTGGCGAGACCCGACAGTGAAGGAGGAGGCGGAGTCACGCGCGGTGGTGTGGAGGCGGAGGCGCGGCGGAGCCGAATGTGGACGTACGCTGGGCTAGAACTGACACGGGCCACGGGCCAGGAGACCGCCGAGCTAAAGGACACCAGAAAAATGGGACGCCGACCCCGAGGACTATGTGAAGGAAGAATGCCAGAGCCAGGAAACAACAACCAGCCCGCCACCTGGGTGCCGGTAGGCAGCCCCACCTCGTTACTATGTGGCTGTAGTTAAGGAATTAAAGTGCATTTGAAACTCCCCTGTAAACTGCTCAGAGACCTTCGGGTCCGAGCGGTATATAAATTGAAGGTGTAAATAAATAAAATAAATAAATACTGTCATCTACACGCTCAGCTGTAGCTCACAGCCTGTGTATGGTATTTACAAGGGAAAACTGGATTCCAGTGCAATCTGGACTTGAAAGTTTGTCTTTTCTCCCCCTGCCAAGATTGGTCAAACTAAGAAAGATGCAAGAGCAAAGAGGAAAACAAACAATGGTGCTCCTACATGTGACAGAGTTACTGGTAGGAAAGCAACAAGCCTGCTAGGAATAATTTACCTAATAGAGAATGCAACAGACAAAAGTAGGAATGTTATGATATAGCTTTGCCGGTTTTGGCAGGGTGACAGGTAGAGCTGCAAACAGTGGCAGTGGAAAATACTGGGCATTTGCTTACCGTCCATGCATATTTATCTCCCTAGAAATGGACGTATTTACTCTAAACAACAGAACAGCAAGGCAGGCACACTTATTTAAATGCCAGAAAACTAGTAAGAGATGCTAATATGACCTTAGTGGGGCACGTCAAGTGTCACTGATACTGTTTTCCCGAAGTCATTTCAAGGACAATTAATTGCATCTTTTTAAGGGATTAGGTCAAGAGTGTCCAATGTGACAAACAATAAAGCTGAAACTCAATCCTTATTTATTTGATTTCTACCCCACTTCACTTCCCAGCAGTATCCTCAAAATCAGCTTAAAGCCCACAAAAAGCTCATACAAGACTAAAATTTAAAGGGAATTCCAATTTTTAAAAAAGTAAAACAATCTTTTGCAAAATAAATCACAGATCTGCAGAGCATAGTTTCATACTTCAGTCAATTATGCTTTGGGGGAAGCAGCCCCCCTCCGAAAAGAACAGTTTTTGCAAAGTGACCCTCTTCCAGGCACCTGCAAAGTGGTTTTAGCAAATGGGAAGGGCCAGTGGGGCTTTTGCACAGCAGGGCTTGATTGGCTGTGCAGATTTGCAAAAACTGCTCAAGTAGCGGCTGCCACTACAGCACGAGGACCTTCACTGTATGACTCTTGTAAGTCAAGTGTATGCAGGATTTTTTTTTTAAATGTTCATTTTAAAGGGCATCTTGTTAATTGGAACTTGTACCTGAAATGCTGAACAGTTACTCTTATATTTATGCATAACCTTACTCCTCCTGAAATTTTGTGGTTGGCTCTGCCTCCCTGTGGCAAAACTCCAAAAGCGCCCACAGGCTCAAAGAGGCTGGGGAGCCCTGTTCTAGAAGCTACCAAGGCATGAAAGAAAAAAATGCCAGGCCCTTGTCTTGGAGAAGAGAATAAAGCTGGTCCACCAAGCATAGCTAGGGGGAAAAAGACTTCTTGCCACAGCTGCTACCTGAATAACAAGCAGCAATGTAAATTATGATCCTGTTCCTTTAAAGTTGTGTGCTCTCATAAACAGATGGCTGCCCAAGTACTCCGAGTCAACACCAGCCACCAATATCCCTTTATCTGGAATGGGTTTCAATTCACTAGTCTATATTGAGTCCATTTCCAATTCCAACTAGTGCTGTACCAGTTTGAAGAAATGAGAAAATGGACTGAAGAAGTCTGTTGTAACCCCAAGATTCAGACAGATGTTCCCTGCTCAAGTTCCTTTACAATTCCACATTTTAACCCCTCCCCAAATGCAGGATAACTCCAAGCTACTCATACATTCCAACTTTATCTTCTTCATAGTTCGGTATGTACTTCCCAACCAATACACCTCTCTTATTCGAGAAAGCCAGTTTAAGACATTTCTGGATTTTGATAGGCTATATTTCAGACATGAACTAATTCATTTCCATTAGAAATATTTTTTTAATAAAAATTACTGTATCCCAGCCAAACAAACATCATTATTTGGTTTTCTTTCCAGTGCTCGATCTCCCATCTTTGGGAACTCCAACCAATCTTCAGCACCATTTAAGTACAACCCCTCCTCTAGCAGAACACAATTTGCAGGGGGATCTTTGGATAAGAATTACAGCCTACAAGGAAGCAAAAGTCTCTGTTTGTAAACTTTCATTTTGTACTGAAGCTTCCCACAGCTACTTTGGGTTTAAAAAAAAACTTGAAAAAACATTACTGTAATTAAGCATCCATGTTCTTCCTTTTGTCTGTTCCTTTGCTTTTTAAAACAACACTAGATTAGATTACTGTAATACATTTTACATGGGGCTGCCCTTGAAAAAACACTAGGAAACTTCAACTGATACGGAACGCTGCAACCAGATGTTGACTGGTATGGGTTGCAGGGACCATATCACTCCAGTCTTGGCACACCTACACTGGCTCCCAGTTTGCCTCTGGCCCCAATTCAAGGTGCTGGATTTGATCTTTAAAGCGTCATACAGTTTGGGACCAGTATACTGGAAGGACCACCTACTCCCAGACAAACCTACCACACCGCTTCTGCCACGGTCCTCCACCAGCAGATGAAAACTTTTTTGCTTCATCTGGCATCCTTCAATATCCTTCAATCCTGCCTGCCTGCCCTGTTTTAATTACTGTTTTATGAGCTTTTATTATTTATTTTAGTTTTCATTTAAATTGTTTTCATGATACATTTTTATAATGTCTTGCTTTAACCATTAGCCACCCTGGTGCCCCTGACTGGGCAGAAAAACAGAATATTCAACTACGGCTGCGGTCACACGGAGCATTAGGCACGCTAGATAGACGGAAGATAGGCGGATTTTCCGGGCGCGATCTCACCGCCACATCTGGGAAGCGTAGAGCTCCCGCAGCTCACCCGAAGCTTCCCTCCGAAGATGCGCTGTAAAAAACTAGTACCTCCAAGGTACTAGTTTCAGGAAACCGCGGGGCAAGGGCGGGCGTCTGATCGCGTTTCCAGTGGCATCCAGTGCCCACCCATGTCCCCTCGCAAAAAGCTTTGTTTTTTTTTCAAGTCTCCACGGATGCGCACAAGCACCCAATGGAGCATGCACACACTTGTGTACAAAACCCCCCACCCCATTTGCCGCTTCTTTGCCGCGTCGCAGGATTGTCCTGTGATCGGCACCTCCCTCCTAACCACGGGACCTCCACGGGAGGTCTGATTGCGCAACCGTGCATTATTTTGCCCCGGGGCAAACAGCCACGCGTCCCCCCTACATTTTCCGGCCTGTGTGACCGGAGCCAAGAATTATCAATGTTGTTGTCTTCATTTTAGCCTAAGGTAGACTGTTTCTCAAACCACCCAAAGCAAAAACACAACCCAGCAAATAAACCATTTGTTTGTCATTTCCAATGCTGAGAATATCAATCAATCATACTGGAAATAATAATTAATAATAATTGTCATATGGCATTGTGTGTAGTATAGCCAGGAGATCCCAAGATTGTCTGGCAGCCACAAGTTCTAGCTCTTTAGCATTATGAACCACTAGGTAGTGAGCTAGACTTGTTTTTAAGGCAAGGGACATTTCAGCGGTGGTTTGCCATTGCCTGCCTCTACGTCACACCCCTGGTATTCCTTGAAGGTCGCCCATCCAAATACAAGCCAGGTCCGACCCTGCTTAGTTTTCAAGATCTGATGAGATCAGGCTAGCGTGGGCCATCCAGGTCAGGGCTATCATATTGGAAACTTAATACAAAGCAACACACCATATACTATCCTCAACATTTTGGTCAAGAATCTCATTTTTTTTAAAGGGTTTAAATCATCATTTGACAAATCCAGAAATTCACATACAAAACTCGCAACAATCAAACTACCAGCAGAAAAAAGTCCTTTCACATCTAGGAAGAAAGAAATAAAATATTGAGAAGGACACTTACTTGTGAGCTTGTTGTGGCTGAGAACCAGCTGTGTGATGTGAGACAAAGTAACTGTAAATGAACAAAAAGAAACCATAAATCAACAAACGGGAAAATTCCTTTAGAAAGAAACATGCATCTTTACAGGAATTCATCTGAATGGTGAGAATCAATATCCACAGACCTTATTAATAAGATAAACACTCCACTCTTCCTAAGTGTCACCTTATTCAATATGGTAACTTCTTTCACTAGCTAAGCCCATGATAATATTATATGTTCCCACAAGGCTGTGCCCACTTTGTGGGGCACGCTCTACCCATTCTGAATGGTACAGGAACTTCCCACAGTTCTGTATTGCAACGATTTCATAAAATTAGACACACCTCAGGACTCTATGAATGCCATGTGGGTAAAAATTCTCAAGTGTGCCACACCAATTTTTGATTTGTGCCAGGGCCACCAAACAGGGCACCACTGTGCATTTGTTTACTTATCCTACGCACCTGCTTCATAGCAAGCCAGACTATCTAACCCAAAACACTCTGTTCAGAGTGGCACAGGATCTCTGTGGTCTTCTCCAGTAAAGCTACCTGAAAGGCATTTAAAGAAGACGGGACTGGACCTTCTACACAAAAACATGTACTCTACCTCTGGCTCCTCCTGATTTACTGATAGCTTACTGATCTATTACATTTTTTCACACTAGACAATTGCTCACCCTCTACTGGAGCAGCCATTTGTTAATTACATGGAAGAGAAAGAAAAGAACTGGGTTTGGGTAGAAAGGGCAGGAGGCATGCCCCACAGCTAACAGGGATTTCCCACCTTTGGTTTAGCACTGGAGATTGCCACAGCAGATCGGAGCAGACACTACTCAACTGTGGCCTGTGCTTGGTGTATAAAAGGCAGCCTGATCCAAGAGAAAGGTCAATGCATGTTTTGCTCTCCTTACAAACTTCTTCCTTCCAGCTGATGGGATTGCTACTAGCCTTTGCTGCGGATTTCAAAGCAAGAATTTTACAAGGTTAACTAGACTAGCAAATGGGGTGTGTGGCCTGGGTTTGCTTTCCTTACAGCACAGGTGTTTGGTCTTCTTATCCAGAGATGTTTTAACCAATTACATTTCTTACTTATACATACTGTCACAACTGGGGCATGTACATCAGGTACCCATAGCTGAGTCAACAAAGGAAAATGGTCTCCTGAAGTCTCCATAACAGGTCTGGTTAGGATCGTTAACCCAGCTTCAACAAGGATGATTATCAGCCAGATCTCCAGATTGGTGGCAATAAGAGCGGCTCATACCTTCTGCTGCCTTTGGCTCTCTAGTTTACCCAGTAGACGAGCTGGAAGCAGGTCCTAGGGTGACAACATCTCCTGTCCCTTATATGGTACTTCAGAATTGCCTTGAAGTCCTCTTTCTTTTTGCCATATGATCTCAAAGTTTACAATAATGGAAGCACACATATGCTTCAAAGGACTTCTTATATTTTACCTTGTAAGACAGGTAGGAAAGGTACCATATTTTAGCATATGGGAATGATATCACAGACACAGATTCCATTGCATTTTTATGCTTATACATATTCTGTCAGAATTATGTCTAGGGTATATCTTAAGCAGCCAGATTACAAGTAAGGTGATCTTTTGCCACTAAATCTGCTGCTATAGCATCACAGGCAAATCTAGTCTCAAACGTAGCAAAAGCCCCAAGAGTGAGATAAACAACATGGCTTATGAGCATTAAGAATAGACAATTAGAACATAAGACTCATAAGATTTTTCTGGCTCCCTGCAAGATGTTATTAAACCATATGGCAATATTTGTACGATTGTACAGAATAGGTCCTCTATGGCCCATTCTCTGCTCCCTTTGTCAGCGGTCTCTAAAATTAGAAGAAGCCAAAAAGGATTTCACCAAGGAAGAAGAAATAAGACCTGGTATAGTGTACAACTGTGACAGGCCTTTTCTTTCAACCAAGGGGACCCACAAACCTCTGATAATTTTGGTGAACCAGGCTTGTTTTAAACTGTAAACCTTCCCTTCAGTTACAAGTGCAAAGGCTTTGAGTTCACTGCTGTAAGGTAAGATTTGCGGTGAGAACATGGAGATCACTGACATGAGAACTATATGTAAACTAGCCGCAAAGCTCATTGTAGAAGCAATACAATGAGCTCTAGAAGGATATGATGGCAATCCGCCTTGAGCGCATTCAACGTAGCCACTCGAAAATGGAATTATATATAAGGAGAGATGAGTAGCAATGACCACAGCTGTAATAGTAGGGGTATTTAAAAGGAGATTTGTCATAATGACCACTTGTTTGAAGCAGTCAGTCGGGAAAGATATCCTCCCTTTTTTTGCTTTTCAAATAACCCTAGCTCTAGCTTCAGGAGATCTCCAGCCCCACCCAGGTGTTGGCAACCATAAGTTTAACTCCACACATATTTAAACCATTCTGGAGACTGTGGGAAAATCTCCTCAGGCTGCCCACGGCTTGTTTTCCCCTCAGGACGGGCCTTCCCTTTACTTCCCTAAGCACTCCAGCATAGGCCGGCGAGTTGGCCTGCCTACTCAGAAGGAAGCCCCACTTGCCTCCGTGAGAGTTTCCTCTCAAGTAAAGTGTGCACATAAGAGCACTGGGAAAATCTCCTCAGGCTGCCCACGGCTTGTTTTCCCCTCAGGACGGGCCTTCCCTTTACTTCCCTAAGCACTCCAGCATAGGCCGGCGAGTTGGCCTGCCTACTCAGAAGGAAGCCCCACTTGCCTCCGTGAGAGTTTCCTCTCAAGTAAAGTGTGCACCTAAGAGCACTGGGCCTTCCCCTTGGCCTCCTCAGGAGGAGCCCGAAAGTGAGCGTGAGCTGGCAGCGGCCGACTGGGTGGGCGAGCTTTGTTGGGGCAGACTGCGGCCTTCTCTTCTGGAGATGCGGTGGCTGAGGGGAGCCGGAGCGTCAGTGGCAGTGTTCCCTCTAAGCTGAGTTAGTGTGAGCTAGCTCACAGTTTTTTAGCCTTTGGCACACACATTTTTGTCTTAGCTCAGGAAGGAGGGCTCCAGAGCAGACTCATTTATGCAGCAGCCAAATCGCTCGCTCACAACTTTAATGCCAGGAGCTCACACAGAAGAATTTTTGCTTACAAGACTCCACAGCTTAGAGGGAACATTGGTCAGTGGTATCAGCCTGGGGATGAGCAACATGGTGCAGCAGAGGCTGAAAGCCCTGCCCGGTCTGTTGGGGCAGGTCGAGCCGGGGGCTGGGCTCAGTGCAGGAGGCGGTGGTGGTGCAGCAGGAGGAGGGGGCCCCAGTAGGGGTTTAGCCACCTCATAGCTCGGCGGGCTTACCAGAGCATCACCGCACTCACCTCCAAGCATGTACATGGGAAGAGGGTGAGTCAGGCTGAGGCTGCCTCAGGAGGACCCCATCGCGAGTGAGCTTCATTGCAGCCATGGCTTTCGGCCTCAGCTTCTAGTATCACCAAAGGGGAAGGTGATAATAAAGGGGGGGGGGGATGAGAAAGCGCCTCTTTCAAAGAGGACACACACTTTATGTCTGATGATTTCCCTCGCTTATATGGGGAAAAGTTATACTCTGCCTTCCTCCCTCATGAGGGCCTCTCCTGGATTTTATCCTCACAGCAGGTTTGTGAGGCAGAGACTGGCCCAAGGTCATTATCCAGCAAGCTTCCATGGCAGGGTGGTAGAGGGCTCGGCCTCATGACCAGTGTTCCCTCTAAGCTGAGGTAGTGTGAGCTAGCTCATAGTTTTTTAGCCTCCGGCTCACAGATTTTTGTCTTCGCTCAGGAAGGATGGCTCCAGAGCAAACTAATTTATGCAGCAGCCAAATCGCTTGCTCACAACTTTAATGCCAGTAGCTCACAAAGTAGAATTTTTGCTCACAAGACTCCACAGTTTAGAGGGAGCATTGCTCATGACCTTTTGGTCGCCGGAGCGTCTGGCCCATCTGTCACCTCCCAGCACATTGAGAAGGAGAGGCTGGGCGGTGTGTGTGTGTGTGGTACTTAGGCAACGCAGCCAGTGGAAAACAGGACAGCGACTGAGTGGCAGTTCAGTCAGTCAATTGATTTGGGAGTACATGGAATGTTGCCACCCGAAAATTGAATTATGTATAAGGAGAGATAATAAGGATTTATCTATTTACGGGTTGTTTTTAAAGAACAGATCAGCAGCACGGGTCTCCAGACAGTCAAAGAAGAAACCGGGCTGAGGCACATAAATTTAAGCTAGTTATGGCTCTGAAGTATGATTTGAATTCTCTTTAATGCTTAGAGGTACAAACAGGCTTTCACTGACTAGCCACTAGGTTAGATCTCACACACACAGGATTCCACCCACATCAGCCTGCCCTTTCCCAAGAGTCTGACTAAATGGTATGAGGTCTGCTCATCATCAGAGACAGGCCTCACAATCAGGTAGTCCTCTCCCAGAGGTTCTCATGCCTGTGCCCGACACAGTGCCTGGGAGCTCTGAAACTGAGGACTCCATGCCTTTAACATCATCAGAAGCATGAGAGTCCTCACCAAACCTAAGTGCCAGGGAGGATGAACACCAAACCCCAGGACAGTTTGCACCTGAAGCCGATCGGGCAATGCCTGGCCCCAGCAACACACCACCCGATTCTCCACCACCTGTTGACTGGCTAAGGAATCAGAGGCGCTGGGATTTGGCAACCAGGTGCAAGGAGGCACGCTTGCGCGGTTGGCAATCATTAAGCCCAGATTACTAACAGAATCAAGGACTTCGCAAAGCCATGCTAATGAGATAACGACCCAGCACACTATTTGAACAGACCGCTGTCTGCTAGCAAACTGTGCTGGCAAACTTGTCCATTGGACCAGAAGCTCTGCACCTCTAACTCTGTTTGGCTCCTGACTGATTTCCCGGTTCCTGACTCCAGTCCACGTTTTGACGACCCCTCTGGCTCTTGGTCCTCGGCTACACTTCCTGACTACGATACTGGCTTGTTTGGACTCTGACTATTGGTAACGTTTGACTACGGCTTGGCTTTGTGTGATTGGGACTTTTGCTCAGACTCTTTTGATCTCTCTGGCT